AAATTTAAAGGACTTAGGGGAAGAGATGAGAGAATGAATCAAAAAAAGCTTTTACACATTTTAGTAGTTTCCCTATAAAATTTTACTTTTGTTAGGATCAAGAACTAGTAAACGCCTTGTGCAGGAAGGGTCTCAGCTTGGGCATCAATCGTTCACCTACAAATCCAATACCTCCTGAAGCACAGACTGGTGAGCCCCCGGCCTCAGCAGGGACTGAGCTGAGGGGACTGCTAGCCAGCATGCGATTCGCTGTACACAGAGGCAGGGAGCTCGGCCAGCTCTCAGCTGAAGGTAGGAGCTGGGTGTTCTGTCGCCCACCCCAGTTCTGTGCTTGCTCTTTTCTGCACACGTTATTTGCCTATCATCACATCTCAAACGTTAGCCCTGGAGGAACTGGCGGCATTCAGTTCAAGCCTGTTTGTAGAGGGTAACTAAGCCCAGATACCATGGAAGGGCCCTTCTCAAATATACTGGAGAACAGAAGGAAGATATATGGAAACAGAGGACAGATCTAGGAAGCAAAACTATGGACTGAGGTATAAACATAGGTGTGGACATTAATTCATAAAAATAGAGGTATTGGCCTATATACATATATTTATATGGCAATACATTGAGGAAGTGCATGTACTTTGGGCCTCTGCTCAAGCCCTCCCTCAACACAAGAACACTTTGTTCTAACAACCTGGCATTCTTTGGTGCTCCCGACCCCCCACCCCGACACCATCACTGAAGACAAAATTGGTGCACAAGCAAATGTGAAGAAAGCTGATGGTGTCTGGCTATCAAAAAATATAGCATCTGGGGTCTTAAAGACTTGAAGATAAACAAGCAGCCATCTAGCTGAGATGCAACAAAAGCCCACATGGAAGAAGCACATCAGCCTGTGGGATCATGAGGTGTCATCAGGATCGAATAACAGGCATCAAAAAACCCAAAACAAAGAAATAAATAAAACATATTGCTGAGAACAAGGAGGGTTGAAGCAGAGAACCCAAACCCACCTGTAGACAATGGGACGTCCCCTCACAGAAGAGTCACAAGGAAGGGATGAGTCAACCAGGGCACAATATAGCACCAATGAAACACACAATAATCCTCTGTTCCTTGGGCTTCCTCGCCCCCCACTATCATGACCCCAGTCCTGCCTTTCACTGCACTCTGTGGCTAGACCAGAGCATGTACACAGGTACAGATAAGAGCTCACAATACATAGAATCCAGGAACAGGAATGGGAGTAGCTCTACCAGGAGGGTAGAGGGTAAGGTGGAGAGAGAAGGGGAGGAAGTGGGGAACCAATTGGAATGATCACATAACCACACACCCGCAGGGGTACGAACAACAGAAAAACCATGGGGGAAGGGAGACAGTGGTCAGTGTAAGATATGAAAATAAGCTATCAAGGGATCACGAGGGGCAGGGGGAGGGAGGGTAAAAAGGAGCTATTACCAAGGGCTCAAATAGAAAGTAAACGTTTAAAAAATGATGATGGCAACATATGTACAAATATGCTTGATACAATTGATGTACAGACTGTTATTAGGGCTGTAAGAGTCCCCACTAAAATTATCTTTAAAAAAATACAGGAGAATGAACTGCAATTAAAAGTGTGTTCATGAACCTCAACAAGTGTTAAGAATAGTCACAATGAAATACATGGAATTTCCCTTCATCTTAGTTTTCCCATCAAGGTGCACCAATTGCGTCTGCCCTTGATGATAGTGATCATAAACACTGATAGCATTGACTCCCATATTAAACCAAACCAAACCCACGAAGTGGACTTGAAGTCCATGAAGTCCACGGCTAATGGAATATAAGTCTGTTCACCTTTGTCACCGGTTCAAATCTTGAGGAAGTTACTGCGAATTGCAAACAAGTGAAGGTGATTCAAGGTCATCATAGAGTAAGTCCCAGCTGTCCGCACAGTTCCCTGCTGAGAAGTAATTCCCACATATCAGGAATCAATTCATCTGGCAGTAACTGGTCCCTTCATTTCACTCAGGAAGCACCTGAGACGGGACCAGAACCTAAACACACAGGGCGTCTACTTTCTCCCAAAGCCTTACAGTCTCCTGTCACTCATCTGAGGGCACCCCTTTTCCCCACATCTACAGAACAGCATTTTCTGATCTGTGCACGGTCGTGCTATTTCCAAAGGGCTTTTAAGGACGTCTCTTCCTATCTGTGGTAAGCACTGGTGAGAAGAATGTAGTTAGATGCTACAGAAATGACAAGAAATCCCTATTATGTACAGAATCCTTCACAGGAGCTTCACCCCTTTGCCCCTTAGGTCCAGAGATGGTCTAAGCTCCCTGCATGCGCAGATCAGAGAAGGCAGACAAACCACTCAGTAAGGAGACAGCCCATGCGCTTCTTTATCAATGAGCAGCAAGACCAGACCCTGAAGCCCCAGCAGGAGGGGCTGAAGGCGAACCCTCCACGCGGCTGTGGCCTGGAGACGATGGAACCCGCCAAAGCTTGACTTCCTGATCCAGAAGATGCCCTTACCTCATGGGGTTAGGGTCCACGAAACACATGACAATTGTGGCACGCTGGTAAACACTCTCTGGGGAAGAAACTTGTGTGCATGCGCATTTATTGTTGTTATTGAAAGGAAGCACGGCACACCATTTATAAATATACGCTACTCTGTACTGCCAATCACATATGCTGTTTTTTTTCTATTTAACGCACATGGCACCCATAGGAAACTTTAACACACAAAGGAGTATGACTGTGTACAATATAAAGCCAATTAATTCTCACAAAATGTTTTCCTTGATTTTTGCCAAAGTTGTCATTAACAAACATGTGTAATTCTGACACGGATGCTGGTTGCTACTTTAATTTAGAATTAGCAAAACAATAATGAAACCGTGAAGCATACGCTGTAACTTAATGTCTTGGCTGACAGCAGTCATAGTTTTCAAATCCTTGAGTATTTCTTCAATATTCTGTGACAGTCACAATGGCCACACACAGGACACACTTAACCTGCATTATTACTTTCCCCATCATTCTCTTATAGCTCATCAAGAAAATGACAAGTCAACGCCTGATGCACAGTGATCAAGCTTCACTTGGTAAAACTACTCCCATCACAGCCAATAGTGGGCTATGGGAGATGGGAAGGTAAATGCAGGAGCACAGCAGAATGTATCTTGGCATTTCACCAGTGAAAATGAAGGAAATTAACCGTAAATGCATAAATAATTAAGAAAGATGGGTTAAAATAATTAAGGAAAATGAATTGAATATAACCTTGTCAAACAATTGAGTTGTAAATTTATAATGTAATTTTTAATTAACGGCTGATTGTAACATCCTGCGCTCCCCAGATTCTAAACCTGTGGATCGATCCTCACACGCCAGCTCCAGGACCCAGTGGGAGAACAGCAGCTTTCCACTGAGACAGGCTCCAGCTGCTTCTGTTTAACTGCAGAGCCCAGAGGAAGGGAAATGGCTACTGGAAGGGAGGGGGCAGAACGAAACGAAATTTCACAAGCAAAGTAAAACTAGATATTGCTAAGGTGAAAGATGAGAAAGTTGGCGGAAAATGAGACCATCAATCAAAGCTACTGTAACGGAGTCCTTTTCCATTCATATTGACCCTCCGAGGCGGCACGTCTTTACGGGAGCTGACCGTCTCCATCCTTCTTCCGCAGAGCCACTGGTGAGCTTGAATCCACGGCCTTGCATTTAGCAGCCCAGAATTATTAGGGTTCATAAAATGAGCTTGGAAACACACACCTACACCCCTCAGGACCCTTTACTGATCATATCCAACTTCATGGACTCTAGTAGCAATCAAGGGCAAAAAAAAAAAATTAGAAACCCCATCTAATTTTGTAATTGAGTCCTTTTAAAAACCCGGATCCTTCTTCAGCAACTTACATAAAATGTATGGGAAGTGCCCATTTTTCTGGGAATTGGCTGTCAGTTTGTTCGGTCAAGCACACGAGCTCCAACGTGCTGTTCTACGTGAATCAGACACCGGCATCGGAAAGCTAGCCTTTCAAGGGAAGGCCACAACACAGGCCGTCGCTGCTCCTCAACTTCCAGATAGAAAAGTTAAGAAAAGCCAACTAACACATTTTATCACATGCCCCAATATTTTTTTAATCTTTATCAGAGGTGGCATTTTCAAAACTCCAAAGACATTAACTTAAAATTGTGGGGGGTTTTAACTGCAGTACAGGGGCAAAGACGACACAAATTCACACAAGGATTTGATCCTCTTCCGAAGTGGGTAAAAGGGTAAGGACTTCTCTCCCCCTGCCCAGCCTTTTCTCACTTTCCATGTGGCCAAGTTAAGTGCACAGCACAGAATCTTGGTGAATTTGGGTGAAAACTGCATCCTAGTAAATGAGTCCCTATGCAGGTTAGCTTTAGAGGACAGGATAAGACACACTTTCGTGACCTTGTTTAATCTGATCAGTTCTCCCACTTACCACCACCTAATATACTCTCTTAAAAAGGGGTGGATATTGGCAGGTAATGCTGCTTCTTAAAACTGACCTAACTTTGGTGGCATGGCGTGATCACTAGGAAAGGGAGAAGTGGTCCTGTTGAAATACACCTCCTCTCATCCTTGGCTGATTCTTGGCAAGGTGACGTGTCACCTTCCACTCCCATCACTTCCTTCCACTAAAGACTACCTTACCAGAGGGTGAGTGACCCACTGGTTCAGCTCGATTTCCGAAAACAGTACCAGTCCTTTGTGAAACCTCCAAATTCTGAAATCTTCTTAAAAAAAGAAAACCTGCATATAGCTACTACTTGAAACAGAGGTTTATATAAAAGATAGTTATGCCCATACCTTAGTGAGTTAATAAACACTTTTACAAAATTGTCAAGGTAGAAAGCTACCAAAACCCCTTATTTGTTTTGGAAATGTTGATGGCAATATATGTATAAGTGTGCTTAATACTACTGAATGATGGATTGTTACAAGATTTTCAGAGGCTCCCTCATAAAATAATTTTTTGAAAAACATATTTGGTTAGAAATAATATTTATTTACCCCTCCCACCATGTACAAGTTACTTTTCAGAAACATTCATATCCACATCAATTACAGTTTGTAGAAAATAAACTTAACTCATACTTTGTCAACAATATATTTCTACCATTTTTTAAAACAATGTCCATTTTATTTTTCCTTGTTAGTCAAGAATAGTTTCAAGTTTTGTTTTAGATCCAATCAATATCTTTGTTGAGCACTCACAATACCTGACAAAACCCCTCCCCCAACCCCTAAAAAAAATTCTATATCCTAAGTGATAAACTCTTCTTGTACATTCAGCAAACTTTATATTAGAAAAGAAAGAGTAATTGAGATAGGTATTATTTTACTTTCGTGCACAGTAATAAATCTAGCTGAGCTTCTACACCTTGCTTTGCAATGATGTTTACATAAAATAAGTCATCTTACCAAGTTACAATGGTAATTTCTTAAAATGCAGCCATGAAAGCTATACATTTAATTCATTGAAACAACCTTCTAAGTTTTAAAGTCATTAATCCAGGAGCGTCATCCCCTTCCCTCAGCTATTTCTCTAAACACCAGACTTCTCTGAGCTCAAGTAAAGAGAAACATTAAAAGCACAGAATGGGGGGTAAAAAAAAGTTAGCTTGCTGACATAATGCCCTTTAAGTTTGCTGACATAATGCCCATGTTTTAACTTTAAAATGTGAAATCAGAATTAAAGCATCACTTAATTCATACAGTACATTATTAATAACTCAACAGTGTCCCACCGACCCAGAAGTCACCTTCCTGGTTGTCTTCTCGGAGCTTTCTAAGTCCACAACCAACGACTCGACCAACAAATGTGCTTGTAGAGGCTGCAGGTTAACTTTAGAAGTTTCCATGTTGGGCTACTTTCAAATACAGAAATGCTCTGCATGGCAAATGAATGATTTTGCTTCCCATTACCTATATATAGGAAGAATTCACTCAAATAAAATTTTACAAGACAAAATGAAAATCTATAGATCTATAGATAGATGTATCATGTATACATACAGTGAACCTAACAAAAGTCTTATAAGCAATACTAACAGTTCTGATTACACATTCCTAAAGACTTAGTAATTATTTTAAAGATACATGTTATAAAGAGACTTATTTGCAAAAGGCAAAAATTAAGAATCAACATGATCTTTGAGGTTTTCGATATTACTTCAAAAAGCTGTTTCTATCTCCCATAGAAGACCACTATGCATTTATCATAGGACAAAAAAATTATTAAAAGATAATGCTATGTAAAGAATTCACAAAAAACTATGCTGTATATCCCAGAAAGGTCCTACCTACTGAAGGAAAATCACAATTATGGTTTATATTATATTATAGATATAACCATCACCGTTCCTCTTTAATAATGAGAGGGTTTTAACTTCTTTTTTAACTTACTTAACTAGTGCCACAGAAACCCAAATCTCAATAGCAACAAGTTAAACAAGTTTACAAAATAAGGCATCCTGCTCATATGTCATAATGGATAACAGATTTAGTAAACTGGGGTCTTCTCATTTCTATAATCTTATATAATAAAAAATTATAGAGAAGGCAATCCTGCCCAAAAGCAATAGGTATAATTGTTACTTTCAAGGGAAACAGCAAAATATACACAAAATCCTCAACTTTGGCTATTTCTCCTACTGTCATAACAGAGGCCAATCTTCTCTCCCAAATAAAGCCCAATATTAGAAATGTGGATGAAATGTATTTGACGATTCCACTTTTAAGTCTATATGTCACACACCAAACAGTGTTTCAAGTTACACATGGAATGTAACTTAACAAAATCCCTGTAGTGTTATTGGGCGGGGAAGCGGATTCAAAATACACACACCCCTGGCGCACATACACAAGCATGTGCACCAACACATTAAACACAGGTTCCTTAAATACCGGTTAGGTCCAGAAAGGATCAAATGTCCTTACCACCAAGCTGCAGCATGGGTACAAAGGGCAGCAAAGCAACATTTTGTTTAGCACAAGGTAAGAATCTGATGAACTTTAACCAATGAGTACCTTGAACACTTTACCAAGATGAACTCTAAGTTACATGTATCTTCACATTTAGACTCAAAGCCTGTTTGCACTTTTACGTTGTGTTGCTTAAATTAATAAAAATAGAGCATAGATTCAATATTCTACCATCTAGACATCGTAAAGCAATGGTTATGTCATCAACAGGTAAAATGCACCTAATTTGGGTCTTTTGACACCTCTTATTTTACGTTTATTGTATGATAAAGTTCTTCACAGTTTAAAATATTGTGAAGACATCTATTTATGTATAACTATATTCACATACACATTATGTACACACATTGTGTATTTTATGTATCCATAAATACTGAGTATGTACCAGTAGGCTACCCCACACATAAGCAGGGAACCTGAATAACAGACTGGTGTGGGCTGTGAAATCATTTCCCCAAAACACTAAGAACAACATTATGAATAATTGTAACAAAAATTTTGCCTTTTTCACATCGTGCCTCTCTCCTAAAGAGGTACATAATATGGTTTGTAGACATGTTTCCCATTTCCATGAGGTGAGGCATTGGGGGCACTACCAGATCTTAACTTCCAAAATATAATGGCCTGCCCAGGATCACACACTAAGAACAATAGCAGGGTAAAAAATAACTCCCAAAGTCTCCAATTATATCGGTCATACGGTACTCTGGTGAAACCCATTCACTAGAACTGCTAAAACAGGATCAGTTCCTAATCCTTACACACTTGTGATTGTGCGTAAGTCATACCACAGGGAGATCAAAATGATTTTTGGTTTTTGGCAGATGAAAAAGTCTAACATTCAGTGTGATTATAATTCAGTGTAACTTCTTCAGTCAAAGTGGGACACAGCTGATTGGTCTGTCGGGGAGATGCGGTCAGTCTAGCTGTGGCTGAAGAGCTCTCCATCTCAACAGCTCCTCCGAGGTCACAGAGCACGCCTCCATCTCCTAATGTCTGAGAGGCCTTTTTCAGCTCCACATCGGTATGCACATATAAATAAGCATTTTAGCACAAAATGTACAGTGAGCATCAATCAACTCATGTTTGAATAACAAAGGTATTAAGGGTGAACTTTAAAGGCCAAGAGCTCCTCAGAGTGCATGTTGTTTAAAGATCGAAGGTCTGGCAACTTTAAAAGAAGTTTTGTAAAAATAGAGGCCTCGTTTGGGTGGTTTTTCATGATTAAGGTCCTTAGTGCACGGATGAGGGTTTCCTGCAATGCCTCCACAGAGTTGACATTTTCTATCCCAGATCGATCTATGGGGGTACAGAAGGGAGAGATGAAGGGCATTACTGATAACGTTTTTATCATTAACATTAAATACAAATTCCTGTTCATCAGTCCCAATAATAAATTCAAAACAAGGCTTGATACAGTTGAACAAAAGCAAAGGGAAATGAATTTTTTTAGCTCTATGGTGAATTTTTAAACTTTTTCATATATTACGGTACACAAATTCATTAGCTCTTAGGTACTTTTGTTCTAAACGAGAGGCTTTGGTATTTAAAATTAGATCTAGCTACTGATTTCACCTGCTTCTAATTGGCGAAAGAAAATAATGTAGGTTGGAAACAGGTTTGTACTGCAGAACCATAGCCACGTTTCTTAGGTTACCGTGTGTGATAGGGTGCCAGAGGCAGGACTCCCTCCATCTGTAACCCTCTCCTCCTGAGCAGACTAGGCTTGGTTACTTGCTTCTTACAATAAACATGATGTGGTCACCTGTTACTTCTAAGGTTTGTGTTCAAAAGAGCTGTGCCCTCTCACTCACTGACTCTGAGAGAGCCGGCTGTAATGCTGTGAGCTGGCCTCTCCAGGCAGCAGCCTGCAAGGAGCTCATCATTCCTGCCAGCTCTCTCCTATGTCTGGAAGCAGATCTGATCCTGGTTAAGCCTTCAGATGAGACCACCTTATAAAAAAGTTAAAACTGAAGAAATGCATGCAAGCCACACCCATCCTCCCAATCCTCTGAAATGGTGTGATAAATATTAGTGGGTCTTTTAGTCATTAAGATTGGGAGTAGTTTGCTATGCAGTAATAAATAAATAGCACATTGTGAAGCTTTATGTACTAGTTACAATATCCTGGCCTTACTTTCATTAGCATACTGTACTGAACTCGTCATACAAAATATACTATTATGAATTAAATTGTGTACCAACAATGTTGTACTGAAGTCTTAAATGATGCACTTGTGAACGTGGCCTTGTTTGGAAATAAGTCTTTGCAAGTGCCATCAGTTACAAGGTCACACTGGAGCAGGGTGGGTCCTAATCCCTTCGGAATGGTGGCTTTTAAAGGGTGAGCCCGAGTCAAAGAGGGAGAAGATGCCTGCGCAGACACATCAACAAGCAGCAAAAAAAGCACCCAGGGCAGCGGCAACCAGAAGCTAGGAAAGAGGCATGGTCCAGTTTTCTCTGAGCCTTCTAAACTGTGAGAAAATAAAGTTCTGTTACCTAAAAACCAACCACTCTTGTGATCTAGGTAGTCCAAGGACTATGAATGAACTTCGTTCCTAACACTGAAAGTCGAATCTGTGCCTAACTTGGAGCAGTTGGGCATGATGCTATGTCAGTCAGATGTGTGCCAAAGTACAGTACAGTACAGTATACAGTGTACCTCTCTTTACAGAAAAGACCAGTGATGCACTTCCATATATGCTAAGGCACCTTTAACACAATGTGATAATAATAATGTTTTGATGCACATCACAGAGTAGCACCTGATTGTTACTATGAGCCACTTTATGTACCTCAAAAGTTTAATGCAAAATAGGGGATCCGTTCTTATTTGCAGGTTATAGGGAAGTCAGATATTGCTGTCTACACTTCCTACAGCAGCCTATGAAATGAAGACAGTTGATACATTAGAGATTTAGTATGAACCAGCTTAGCTGACTGCCCTCGAGTCAATTCTGACTCACAGAAACCCTATAGGCAGAGATGAACTGCTCCTTTGGACTTCCGAGACTGTAACTCCTTATGAGAACAGAGAGCTTCCTTTCCTCCTATGGAGCAGCTGGTGATTCCGAACTGCGATCTGTGCAAAGTTAGCAGCCCAAGTAGTAACCCAAGATACCCCTAGGGCTGCTAGGCCAGAGATAAGTCACTTCAAATTAGCCAGCCTATGTAGTTGGCACCACCACGCACCTGCCAATTAGTTACACTGTGTTGGATTCCGTGTTGGTGTGAGGCTGGAAACTAGGCGACCAGTATTTCAAACACCGCAGGGTCACCCACGGCAGATAGGTTTCAGTGGAACTTCTCTAGCATTCGTGCTTTTTTTTTCTCTTCTCATATTTTACATGGACTTTAAGGAGGTCTTATTAAGTGGTCCCTGAAAAGGGTCACTTGGAGGGCCAGCACTGAGAGCAAGAACTACAATAGTAAAAGAGAAAAAGGTTTAAATCTAAATGGTGAAAACAGATTTTTAAAAAATATTTACCATATATACTCGTGTATAAGCCAAGTTTTTCAGCACGTTTTTAATGCAATTTCTGTGTTAAATTAGGTGCCTCGGCTGATATTCGGGTCAGCTTATACTTGAGTATATACGGTAATAAGATTTAGATTATTGTAACAAGTGTGGCCTAATTACTGGAAACAGGAAACTAAATACTAATGTTTGGGGAGTCAATTTTTCAGCTAAAATTGTTGGATTGGCAGGACTCTTTTACCTTGGGCTTCATAGCCCATCAGCTTTCTCCACATTTAAAATGAAATTTTTAAATCCCTTTTATATATTATATGTTGTTTGGGTCTTTCGATGATTATTAAGTTTGGATAACTAATGCTTCTCTGATAATTTCAGGAACTGAATGCCTACATCTAAAAATGTAAATCTCATGGGGGGGGGCGCTCTAAGATAGATGTGGTAGTGATTGTACAACTCCCCTTGATGTGATTGAACAATTGAACTGCTTAATTGTATGATATGTCGATTATGTAGCAATAAAACTATTGGGAAAAAATAAAAATGTAAATCTTATTAAAATTTTCTAAAGGACCCACTTCTAATGCCGTAACATACACGCACACACATCCAATTAATACTGATGCTTGGCTGTAATATTAAAATGTTTTCTCTTCCTTAAAAGAAAAAATCTAAATAGATTATAAGCAACCATCTTCTGGAAATTGTAATATCAAAATGCAGAGCATGAACTCAAATTTCTGCTTTTAAATGGTGCACTGAACAGTCTACTTTAGGACACATCTGCTTCTTCTTGAGGTGGTTCCTTGTCTGACTCCCAAACCTTTACTCCTCACCAAATCTCTAACGCAGATTTAGATAGCTAAATTCTTTCAGTAGAAACAACTGTGGGGACACCCACACCCTTATCTAGATAAGCCCTGGTCTTTTTTTTGTTTGTTTGTCTTTAATCATTTTATTGGGAGCCCATACAACTCTTATCACAATCCATACATACACCCAAACACATTTGTACATTTGTTGCCATCATCATTCTCAAAACATTTGCTTTCTACTTGAGCCCTTGGTATCAGCTCATTTTCCCCCTCCCTCATGAACCCTTGATAAATCATAAATTATTATTTTGTCATATCTTACACTAACGTCTCCATTCACTCACTTCTCTGTTGTTCATCCCCCAGGGCGAAAGTTATATATAGATCCTTGTAATCCGTTCCCCCTTTCCACCCGCCCCTCCCTTTACCCTCCCGGTATCGCCACTCTCACCACTGGTCCTAAAGGGATCATCTGTCCTGGATTCCCTGTGTTTCTAGTTCCTATCTGTAGCAGTGTACATCCTCTGGTCTAGCCAGATTTGTAAGATAGAATTGGGATCATGATAGTGGGGGAGGTGGAAGCATTTAGGAACTAGAGGAAAGTTGTATGTTTCATTGTTGCTACACTGCACCCTGACTGGCTCCTCCCCGCGACCCTTCCGTAAGGGGATGACCAGGCTTTGGGTCTCCACTCTGCACTCACCCTCATTTACAATGACATGATTTTTTGTTCTTTGATGCCTGATACCTGATCCTTCGACACCTCGTGATCACACAGGCTGCTGTGCTTCTCCCATGTGGGCTTTGTAGCTTCTGAGCTAGATGGCCGCTTGTTTACCTTCAAGCCTTTAAGACCCCAGATGCTCTATCTTTTGATAGCCGGGCTCCATCAGCTTTCTTCACCACATTTGCTTATGTACCCACTTTGTCTTCAGTGATCGTGTAGGGAAGGTGAGCATCCTGGAATGCCAGTTTAATAGAACAAAGTATTGTTGCATTGAGGGAATACTTGAGTGGAGGCCCAATGTCCATCTGCTGCCTTAAAGTCCTGGTCTTATACCTACATGCCAGTCTCTAATCTTCAACTGGAAATGACTGCTGTCACTCCATAAAAACCTATCTGAACAAGAACTGACCTTGACCTTGTTATAACTGCCCTTCTATCCAGAATATCACGTGTCTGCCAATTTCACAGGCAAACATTATCTTCAGTTATACATAAAACGCATTATTTCTATCATTGAACCACCACTGCCCTCAGTTCCACATATTAAAAAAAAAAAAGTCATAAATGCCAATTCATGGTGACCCCAAGTGTTACAGAGTAGAAATGCTCCACTGTGTTTCATGCTGCCATCTTTATGGAAGCATACCACCAGGCATTCCTTCCACAGTACCATTTCGCGGGTACAAACTATCAACCTGTAGATGAGTAGTCAGGAGCAACTGGCCAACACGACCCAAACCTTCTTCAAATGTAGATGATAAAATTGAGAAAGTATTATACTCATATAATTTCCACTGAGTATTTCATATGTTTTTCCCTATTCTATACATCCTAATTTTCTAAACCTTTCTGGCCTAGTGCCCCCTTTTCAGAAAAAAAGTTACTAAGCACCCCCTGACAATTAAGAACTTGTGTACTACAGCCCATAACCAGGATCAAGTGTAGACATGGACTTTTGCAGGGCCCGCCTCACAAGTGAACACATAATCTGAATGACAGGTGAATGGATAGCTAAAAGATACCTGGTGTTTATTAATAGTGATTTTCTTTTGGTGATATAATCATGTTTATTTTCATCTTAATGTGTTATTTTAAAAGCCGTATGTTTTTAAGTATTTTACTGTATTTTCAGTGGAAATGTGTTTCATTCAACAGTTTCTACACCAGCTGCAACAGTCACTGAACAACCAGGAGGGAAATAACAAGGATGCTGACACAGAGTAAAAAATGTAACCCGTGTGTTCAGTCGCTGTTGCAGTAACCTGCTTTTTCTGCCCCTCTACTCTCACCTGTGCTTCAGAGTAATTGTTGACCATTTGATCTCATATAGCTGCTTTAAAAAGAATACAGTACTTACAAGGGACACTATTTATAAGTCAGCCTATTATTTAGCTAAAAGGTGACTTCAGGGGATAATCTGGTTCAAGGTTTAAATACCTCGGTGTGACAATCTCAGGGGAGCAACAGACTCCACTGCACCATGAAGTCTGGATGTTTTAATAACTTGAGGTTAATGAACCCAGCTTATTCTTAAAATCAGAAAGAAAGAAAAGGCTTTTCTAAAGGCAATGAAAGCAATGTAAAAATATTTCTGGTAGAAAATATAAATGAAGTGAACAGCACAGTTCACTGCACACAGTTCCCTTCTTCCTGTGAACTTTTGGGGTTTGATCCCTTCATCTCCCCCGCTACACCCTGGTTCCAGAGCGTTCATGTTCCACTGCCTCAGCGCTCACATTACCTCACCAGCCTCTCAGCCCAACTCGACAGCCCTAATGACTCACCAGCGTAAAGATGGAGAGCCTATTTCAAATCCTTGCTATTCATGCTTGATGGCTCCCTACAACAATACTTTACTCAGTACTTTCTGTGTTTCCCTGCTTAGCTCTCAGGGCTTTCAATCCATACACTGAAGCTCCTTTATTTGTCTTTTTGTCCCTGTGTCCCTCTCTTCCCGGAGGTGCACACCCCCCCACCCAGGCTCTGACCACCTTCTCAAGATTCTCCAACGTTACCTAAATAAAACTCAAATCTTCCCTACAAAATCTAACTCAACTCTACCTTCCCTACAAAGCCTTCTCAGGTGACTTTATCTCCTCTGCAGTACTTAATCCGGTCAGAACTTCAGAGCTTAGCACCACAAAGCTTTTTATGTTAGCTCTCTTTCTTAAAACGGAATGTAAACATTTGAGAGCAAGCTTGTCTCTTTTGTTATTTTTGTCGTTACCTAACACACACAAGGCTTCAAAAAGTCCAAGCAAAATAATCTCACCGTCTTTTCATTCCGTTTTTCTACAAACTTTCTGAAGCTCTATTATATTCCTCAGGTAAGATATTCACACGTATTACCTATCATTTTACAGTAATATTTTTACCAATCTTTGTCAGATCAAACCACTATTATAAGTACTTATATCAAGAGACTCTATAAAACAGAGGATTGGATCCATATCCATATAATCCAAAATCAAAGGAGGGATCAGTATCAGACCCTAAACTGTGAGAATCTGGTGTGCAGAAGGCGATGAACAACAGTGGGAGCCCAAGATCCATTGGTGGAACTACATAGGCTAGAAGCCTCCGGAGAACTCCCCCTATCTACAATGGGGGAGGGGAGGAAAGTGGTCACTAAACAGAGAGCTTGGGAGGGGGGACTATAAAAGATCAAAGGCATAAATCTAACCTCAACAGTTAGAACTTTGTCAGTAAATCTCCCCTATGATGCAGGCTGGACCTTATCTGGTTTCC